CGGCCCGGGAGTGTAAAGGGAGGGAGGGAGTGTAGCAGGCAGGCAGGGAGTGAAAAAGGCAGGCAGGGAGTGTAGCAGGGAGGGGGGGTTTAGCAGGCAAGGGAGGGAGTGTAGCAAGGGAGGGAGGGAGTGAAACAGGATGGGAGGGGTGTAGCAGGGATGCAGGGGGGTGCAGGCATGCAGGGGGGTAGCAGGCATGCAGGGAGTGTACAGGCATGCAGGGGGGGAAAAGGGTAAATGTAACAGGCAGGCAGGGAGTGTAGAGGCATGCAGGGGGTGTAGGGAGGCATGCAGGGAGTAAAGGCAGGGAGGGAGTGTAGCGGGGAGGGAGGGAGTTAAACAGGGGAGGGGAGGTTTGCGGCAGGCAGGGAGGGTAGGGGGCAGGCAGGGAATTTTAGCAGAAGGGAGGGAGTGTTTGCAGGAAAACAGGGGGTGGCAGGCATGGGGGGGGCCCAGGGGGTGTAGCAGGCAGGCAGGGAGTTACAGGCATGCAGGGAGTGTAAGGGAGGGAGGGAGGGAGTGTAGCAGGCACAGGGGGGTGTAGCGGGGATGGGAGGGAGTGTAGGGGGGGAAAAGGGGGGGGGGGGGGTTTTTGGGGGGGAAAGGGGGGGGGGGAAAAAAAGGGGGGGGGGGGGGGGTTCAGGGGGCCCGGCAGGAGGGGGGTTAAAAGGGGGGGGGGGCCCCCCGGGGTTTTTGGGGGCCCCCAAAAAGGGGGAAAAAAAAAAAAAAAAAAAAAGGGGGGGGGAAAAACCCCCTTTTTAAAAAAAAAAAAAAAAAATTTAAAAAAAGGGGGGGGGGAAAAAAGGGGGAAGGGGGGCCCCATTTTGGGGGGGCAAGGGGGTTTTTAAAAGGGGGAAAAAAAAATTTGGGAACAAACGGGAAACCCCCAACAAAGGGGTTAAGGGGGGGGGAAATTGGGAAAACAAGGGGGGAAAAAAAAAAGGGATTTTTTAAAGGGGAAAAAAAGGGGGGGGGGGGCCGGCAAGGAGGGGTTTTTGGGGGGGCCGGGGGTTTGGGGGGAAAATTTTTTTTGGGGGGGGTTTTTTGGGTTTTTTTTTTTAAAAAGGGGGGGGGGGTTTTTTTTTTTTTGGTTTTTGGTTTTTTTTTTTCCCCCCCTTTTTTCCCCCCTTTTTTTTTTTTTTTTTTTTTAAAAAAGGGGGGCCCCCCCTTTGGGGGGTTTTTTTTGGGGGGGGAAAAAAAACCCCCCAAAAAAAAAAATAAAAAACCCCTTTTTTTTTTTAAAAGGGGGTTTTTTTAAAAAAAAATTTTTTTTTAAAAAAAAAAATTTTTTTTTTTTTAAAAAAAAAAAAAAAAAAAACCAAAAAAAAAGGGGGGGGAAAAAGGGGGGGCAAAAGGGGGGGGAAAAAAAAAGGGGGGGGGGGGCCCCGGGGGAGGTTTTTTTAAAAAAAAAAAACCGGGGGAAGTTTCAAAAGGGGGGGAAAAAAAACCCCAAACCCAAAAAAAAGGGGGGGGGGGGGGGGGGGGGGGGAAAAAAAAAAAAGGGGGGGGGGGGGGGGGGGAGGGTTTTTAAAAACCCCCGGGGGGTTTTGGGGGGGGGGCCGGCAGGGGGGAAAAAGGGGGGGGGGGGTTTTTTTGGGGTTTTTTTTTGGGGGGGTTTTTTTTTTTGGGGGGGCCGGGGGGGGAAAGGGAACCCGGGGTTTTGGGGGGGAAAAGGAGGGCCAAAAAAATTTTTTTCCCCCTTTTTGGGGGGGGGTTGGGGGGATGAAAAAAAAAAAAAAAAGGGGGGGGGAAAGGGGGGGGGGGGGGGAAAAAATTGGCAATTTTCCGGGTTTGGGGGGGGAAAAAAAAGGGGGCCCCCCCGGGGGGAAAAACCCCGGGGGGGGGGGGGGAAAAAAAAAAACCCCCCCCCCCCCCGGGGGGGGGGGGGAAACAAGGGGAAAAAAAAATTTTAAAAAAAAAAAGGAAAAAAGGGGGGAAAATTTTTAAAAAGGGAAAAAAAAGAAGGAAAAAGAAGGGGAGGGGGGGGGGGTTTTAGGGGAAAAAAAAAGGGGGGGGGGGGGGGGGGAGGAAAAGGGGGGGGGAAAAGGGGGGGGAAGGGGAGGGGTGGGGGAAGGGGGGGGGGGGGGGGGGGGGGGGGGCAGGGAGGGGGGGGGGGGAAAAAGGGGGGGGGGGGAGGGGGGTTGGAAAAGGGGGGGGGTAGGGGAGGGGGGGAAGGGGGGGGGAAAAAGGGGGAAAGGGGGGAGGGGGGGGGGGGGGGAAAAGGGGGGGGGGAGGGGTTTTCCGGGATGAAGGGGGGGGGGGAGGGGGCCCCGGCAAGGGGGGGGCCCCGGGAGGGGGGGAGGGGGGGGGGGGCAGGGGGGGGGGGGGGAAGGGGGGGGGGGGGGAGGGGGTTTTGGGGGGGGGGAGTTTTGGGGGGGGGGGGTTTGGGGGGAGGGAGGGAGGGGGGGGGGGTTTGGGGGGGGGGGGGCCGGGGGAGGGGGCAGGAAGGGGGGGGGGCAGGGGGGGAAAAAAGGGGGGGGGGGGGGGGGAGGGGGGGCAGGGGAGGGAAGGGGGAGGGGGGGGGGGGGGGGGGAAGGAGGGAAAGGGAGGGGAAAAGGGGGGGGGGGGGGGGGGGGGGGGGGGGGGGGGGGAGGGGCAAGGGGGGGGAGGGGGGAAAAAAGGGGGGGGGGGGTAGGGGGGGGGGTTTTTTTGGGGGGGGGGGGGGGGGGGGGGGGGGGGGTTTGGAGGGGGGGGTGGGGCAGGCAAGGGGGAAGGGGGGGGGGGGGAGGGGGGGGGGGGGGGGGGGGGTTTGCAGGCAGGGGGGGGGGGGGGGGGTTGGGGGCAGGGGGGGGGGGGGGGGGGGGTTTGGGGGGGGGTTAAAAAAAGGGGGGGGGGGGGGGGGGGTTTCCCCGGGGGGGGGGAAAACAGGTGAGGGGGCAGGGGGGGGGGGGGGGGGGGGGGGGAACCCCCAAAGGGTGAGGGGGGGGGGGGGTTAAAAAGGGGGGGGAAAAAAAGGGGGGGGGGGGGGTGAAAGGGGGGAAAAGGGGGGGCAGGGAGGGGGGGGAAAAAAAGGGGTTTTGGGGGGGGGGAAAAAGGGGGGGGTTGGGGGGGGGGGGGGGGGGGGGGGGAGGGGGGGGGGGAGGGGGGGGGGGGGGGGGGGAGGGGGGGGGGGGCAGGCAGGGGAAGGGGAAAAAAGGGGGGGGGGGAAAGGGGGGGGGGGGAAAGGGGGGGGCGGGGGTTGGGGGGGGGGGGTTGGGGAAAGGGGGGCAGGGAGGGAAAGGGGGGGCCCCCGGGGGGAGGGCAAAGGGGGGGGGGGGGGGGTTTGGGGGGGGGGGGGGGGGGGGGGGCAGGGAGGGAAAGGGGGGCAGGCAGGGAGGGGGGGGGGGGGTTTTGCAGGCAAGGGGGGGGGGGGGAAGGGGGGGGGGGAAAGGGGAGGCAGGGAGGGGGAAGGGGGGGGAAAAGGGGAGGGAAAATTTTTTTTAAAGGGGGGGGGGGGGCAGGGGGGGGAGGGGGGAAATTTGGGGGGGGGGGGGGGAAGGGGGGGGGGGGGGGGGGGGGGAAGGGGGGGGTTGGGGGGGGGGGGGGGGAGTGTAAAGGGGGGGGGGGGGAAAAAAAAAGGGGGGGGAAAGGGGGGGGGCAGGGGGGGGGGGCAGGCAGGCGGGGGTTTGGGGGGGGGGGGGGGGGGCAGGGGGGGGGGGGGAAGGGGGGGCAACAGGGGGGGGGAGGGGGGGGTTGAAAGGGGGAAGGGGGAAAACAGGGAAGGGGGGGGGGGGGGGGGTTAAAAAAGGGGGGGGGGGGGGGGGTTGGGGGGGGAAAGGGGGAAAAAAAAAGGGGGGGGGGGGGGGGCCCGGGGGTTGGGGGGGGGGGAAAAACCCGGGAGGGGGGCGGGGGGGGGAGGGGGGCCCGGGAGGGGGGGGGGCAACAGGGGTGAGCAGGGCAGGGGTGTAAGGGAAAGGGGGGGGGGCCCCGGGGGGGGAAAAAGGGGAGGGGGCAGGGGGGAGGAGGGAGGAAGGGGGGAAGGGGGGGGGAGGGGGGGGGGGGGAAGGGGGGGGGGGAAAAAGGGGGGGGGGGGGGGGGGGAGGGGGGGGGGGGGGGGGGGGGGAAGGGGGGGGGGGGGGGGGGGGTTAAAACCCGGGGGGGGGGGGGGGAGGGGGAGGGGAAAGGGGGGGGGAAAAGGGGGGGGGGAGGGGGCCCGGGGGAGGGGCAGGGAGGGGGGCAGGCCGGGGGTTTGGGGGGGGGGGGGGAGGGCAGGAAAGGGGGGGGGGGGGGAAAAAAGGGGGGGGGGGGGGGGAAGGGGCCAGGGGGGCAGGGGGGAAAAAAAAGGGGGGAAAAAGGGGGGGGAGGGGGGGGGGGGGGGAGGAGGGGGGGGGGGGAGGGGAGGGGAAAAAGGGGGGGGGAAGGTTGGGGGGGGGTGAGGGGTTTGGGGGGGGGGGAGGGGGGGGGGAAGGGGAAGGGGGGAGGGGGGGGGAAAAAGGGGGGGGAGGGCAGGGAAAGGGGGGGGAAAAGGGGGGGAGGGGCAGGCGGGGGGAGGGGGGGGCAGGGGGGGGGGTTGGGGGGGGGGGGGGGGGGGGGGGGGGGGGGGGGGGGGGGGGGGGGCAGGAAAAGGGGGAGGGGGGGGGGAGGGGGGGGGTTTTGGGGGCCCCCCCCAAAGGAGGGGGAAAAAGGGGGGGGGAAAAAGGGGGGGGGGGGAAAAAAGGGGGGGGAGGGCCCGGGGGGGGGGGGGGTTTGGGGGGGAAAAAAAGGGGGGGGGGAAAGGAGCAAAGGGAAAAGGGGGGGGGGGGAAAGGGGGGGAAAAGGGGGGGGTTTTGGGGTGAGGGGGGGGGGGGGGAAAAAATTTTTAAAAGGGGGGGGGGGGGGGGGGGGGGGGTGAGGGGGGGGGGAGGGAGGGGGGGGGGGAAAAGGGGGGAAAAAAAGGGGGGGGGGGGGGGGAAAAGGGGGGGGTTTGGGGGGGGGGGGGGTGGAAAAAAAAAAGGGGGGCAGGGGGGGGCAGGCGGGGGGGGGAAGGGGGGGGAGGGCAGGAAGGGGGGGGGGGGGGTTTTTAGGGGGAGGGGGGGGGGGGGGGGGGGCGGCAGGCAGGGAGGGGGGGGGAGGGGGGGGAGGGGGGGGGGAAAAAAGGGGGGGGGGGGGGGGGGGAAAGGGGGGGGGGGGCAGGGAGGGGAAGGGGGAGGGAAGGGGGGGGGAAAAGGGGGGGGAGGAGGAGGGAAAGGGAGGGGGGGGGAAAAGGGGGGGAAAGGGGGGGGCAAAGGGTGGGGGGGAAAGGGGGGGGGGGGGGGGCAGGGGGGGGTTGGGGGGGGGGGGGGGGGGGGGAAAAAAAAAAGGGGGGGGGGGGGGGTTGGGGGGGGGGGCCCGGGGGGGGTGGGGGGGGGGAAAAATTGGGGGGCAGGGGGGGGGGGGAGGAAGGGGGGGGGGAGGGGGGGGGAAAAAAAAAAAAAAGGGGGGGGGGGGGGGGGGGGGGGGGGGGGGGGGGGGTGAGGGGGAAAAAAGGGGGGGGGGGGGGGGGGAAAGGGGGGAAAACCCGGGGGGAAAAATTAAAAAAAGGGGGAAAGGGGGGGGGAAAAAGGGGGGGGGGGGGAAAAGGGGGGAAAATTGGGGGGGGGGGAAAAGGGGGGGAAAAGGGGCCAAAAGGGGGGGGGGGGCAGGGGGGGGGGGGGGGGGAAAAAGGGGGAGGGAAAGGGGGGGAGGGGGGGGGAAAAAGGGGGGGGAAAAAAAAGCCCAAAAAAACCCAAAGGGGGGGGGGGAAGGGGGGGGGGGGGCAGGGGGGGGGGGGGGGGTTTGGGGGGGGGGGGGGGGGTTTTAGCAGGGGGGGGAAAAAAAAGGGGGGGGGGCCCCGGGGGGGGAAAAAGGGGGAGGAAAGGGGGGGGGGGGGGGGGGGAGGGGGGGGGGAAAACAGGGGATTTTAAACCCCGGGGGGGGGGTTGGGGGGGGGGGGGGGCCCGGGGGGGGGGGGCCCGGGAAAAAAAGGGGGGGGGGGGGGAGGGGGGGGGGGGTAAAAGGGGGGGGGGGGGGAAAAAAAAAAGGGGGGGGGGAAAAAAGGGGGGGGGGAGGCAGGGAATTGGGGGGGGAGGGGGGGGGGGGGGGGAGGGGGGCAGGCCGGGGGAGGGAAAAGGGGGGGGGAGGGGGGGGGGGGTGAAGGGGTTGGGGGAAAAAAGGGGGGAAAAAGGGGGAGGGGTTTGGGGGGGGGGGGGGGGTTTTTGGGGGGGGGGGGGAAGGGGGCAGGGGGGGGGGGGGAAAAAAAAAAGGGGGGGGGGGGGGCGGGGGGTAACGGGGGGAGTTTGGGGGGGGGGAAGGGGGGGGGGAAAAAGGGGGGGGGGGGGGGGGGGGGGGAAAAGGGAAGGGGGGTTTAAACAAAGGGGGGGGGAAAAGGGGGGGGGGGGGGGGGGGGGAAAGGGGGGGGGGGCCCCGGGGGGGGGGGGGGCCCTTCGGGGGGGAAGGGGGGGGGGCCGGGGGGGGGAAAAGGGGGGGGGGGGGGGAGGGGGGGGTTTGGGGGGGGGGAAAGGGGGGGGGGGGGCCCCGGGGGGGAAAAAGGGGGGCCGGAAGGGGGGGAAAAAAAAGGGGGGGGGGGTTTTAAAAAAGGGGGGGGGGGGAGGGGGGGGGGGGGAAAAGGGGGGGGGGAAAAGGGGGGGGGGGGGGGGGGGGTTGGGGGGGGGGGGGGGGGGAAAAGGGGGGGGGGGGCCGGGGGGGGGGGGGGGGGGGGGAAAAAAAGGGAAAAAAGGGGGGGGGGGGGGGCCGGGGGTTTGGGGAGGCCGGGGGGGGGGGGGGAAAAAAAAAGGGGGGGGGGGGGGGGGGGGGGGAAAAGGGGGGAGGGGGGGGGGGGGGGTGAGGGGGGGGCCCCCGGGGTTTTAGCAAGGGGGGGGGGGGAAAAAAAGGGGGGGGGGGGGCCGGGGGAGGGAGGGGGGGTTAAAGGGGGGGGAGGGAGGGGGGGGGGCAAGGGGGGGGGGGGGGGGGGAAAAAATGGGGGGGGCCCCGGGGGGGTCCCCGGGGGGGGGGGGAAAAATGAGGGGGGGGGGGGGGGAAAAGGGGGGGGGGGGAAAAAGGGGGGGGGGGGGGGGGGGGGGGGGGGGGGGGGGGGAGGGGGTTTTGGGGGGGGGGGGGAATTGGGGGGGCAAAAGGGGGGGGGGGGGGGGGGGGGGCCCCGGGGGGGGGGGGGGGAAAAGGGGGGGGGGGGGCCCGGGGGGGGCCCGGGGGGGGGGGCAAGGGGGAAGGGGGGGGGGGGGGGGGGCCTTAAGGGGGGGGGGGCCCCGGGGGAAAAGGGGAAAAGGGGGGGGAAAAATTCCCGGGGGGGGGGGGGGGGGGGACCAACCCCGGTTCCCCCCCAGGGATGGCACTAAAACTTCTTGGGGTCCATGGTGACTTATTTGCAGTTACAAGCACAAAAAAAACACTGGGATAAATGTGAAATGTACTGAATGTATGCATAGATACGACCGCACTGGCTGGCTTTAAACACTGGCGCTGAGCCACACGTGGGACACGTCCCAGATGAATCACGTAAGGCGAGTTTTTTATCGTGGGGGAGGCAAAATTTTTGCGTTCAAATGCTTGTATGGTGTTTTTTTAACGTAACGCAATGCGTTCATAAGGTGTGGTCCACTGTATTTATTTCTTTTTGTTTTTTGTATGTAAAAACTATAGTTATATTCTATAAAATGTATTTTTTGTTAATATTTTTGGGTGTCTGGAATGGAATTAATTGGATTTACATTATTTCTTAAGGGAAATATTACTTAAGTTTTCATACAAATCGTTTTCGTCCGACCTTCTGGAATGGATTAATTAATTAAAGACGAAAACCGGGGTTCCACTGTACTACTTTAAGAAACAATTTCTGTAATGTAGAGAAATATACAGGAGTCTCCAAGACATTAATTTAGCTATCTAGAACACCTCAGTAGTAAATATTAAGTAATTACAGTACAGTGGACCCTCAACCAACAGCTTTAAATCCATTCCAGAGAGCTAGCCTTTAGTCGAATTAGCCGTTAATCAAAATTAATTTTCCCATAAGAAATAATGGAAATCCAATTAATCCATTCAGACAGCCAAAAGTATTAACAAAAAATATTTTTTTTAAAGATTAAATATAAATATACATACAGAAAACAATGACAGATAAATATAAAGAAAGCACTAATAAAATGGATAAATGAACATTTAACATCACACTTACCTTATTGACTTGACTTGTTGGTGTTATGGTAGACACGTAGGAGGCAAGAGGAAGGCAAGTTTATTATGCTTCAATATGACGCTGAATAACATCTTGTAGGAGTGAGGAAGAGCCAGTTGTGAGCATGGGGGAAGTTCGTGAGGCAGTAGGTAAAATGAAAGGGGGGTAAGGCAGCCGGGATTGATGGATAAAGATAGAAATGTTAAAAGCAGGTGGGGATATAGTTTTGGAGTGGTTGGTGCAATTATTTAATAAATGTATGGAAGAGGGTAAGGTACCTAGGGATTGGCAGAGAGCATGCATAGTTCCTTTGTATAAAAGGCAAGGGGATAAAAGAGAGTGCAAAAATTATAGGGGGATAAGTCTGTTGAGTATACCTGGTAAAGTGTATGGTAGAGTTATAATTGAAAGAATTAAGAGTAAGAGAGATGGAAGAAGGTGCCTTCTTCAGAAATTAGAGATTTTTTTACTATGTGGGGTAAGATGGAAAGCTTTATGGAGAAACATCACCCTAACAAGGTTGTTGCAAGCCAGGTGGCAACATGTACAGTGACAAAGTCTTGGGCCATTTTAGGGAAGTGTTAAAGAGATGCCAGAAACAGAGCTCTCTCCAGAGTTATTTTTGCGAGACAGGACTCCAGTGACTCTCAAGGTGGTCCTAGTGGCATTAAGAAACAGAGAAGAGAAGCAACCCCAGAAAAGCAAATGGTACCTGAGGTGTTGATGGAAGGGGATTCCCCTTCCAAACTATAACAATCCACTCTCTCTCTCTCTCCAGTCTCCTATACACTAAAAGAATCTCCAATAAAGGTAATGTGTTATGCTGTTAATGTTTCATTCATCATTTCCCATTGTATTGTTTATGTACTACATGTATATTTCATGTTAAAATTTTTTTTGTTTTAATACTTCTGGGTGTCAGGAACGGATTAATGTATTTACATTATTTCTTAGGGGGAAAATTGATTCGTAAATCGTAAATTTCGTTTATAGTAACGCTCCAGGAATGGATTAATTACGAAAAACGAGGACCACTGTATGTAATTTATAAGTAAGAAATACAGTGGACCCCGACTTACGAACAGCACCCAACTTGAAACAATTATACATGTATAAGTGTATTTTTGTAAGTGCTTTTGTAAGTGTATTTTGGGGGTCTGAAACGGACTAATCTAATGTACATTATTCCTTATGGGACAAATTCGTCGTCATGGCACCGAACAGCCATCTGGAACGAACTAAGTTCGTAAGTTGGGGTCCACTGTATTTACATTTTAATTTATAAATAAGAAAATATTTACATATTAATTTATAAATAAGAAAGTTTATTCAGGTATACACAAATACAGTTACATAGATTATCGTATGTAGCAGCATGTGTAAAGTACCTAGGATAACCCAATAAATCAGAGTGACTTACATATTTCCATTGGGGTCCTTTTATATTTACACTTAATATATTTATTTTTATGCTTACACTTTTATATTTACACTTACCTCAGTATGCTGAGGTCAGTGATCATGTGTGGTCATACCTGTCCTAAGTTCTCTGGATTAGCATGGGGTGTTACCTAGCACCATGGCTTGTTGTAGTGTTTTAGAATTTCAGCCTCCTATTTTCAGGAGGAAAATAGGAGGCTGAAGCTTTGTCTAGAGGGGTTTGGGAGTGAGTGTGAGATGGTTGCAGCTGGTGAGGAGGAAAAAGTTACCAGCAGTGATTTGGAGAGTGGCAGCTGCTTTAAGTGGCAAGTGGTTCACAGTTCAGGAAGAAGGATAATAAGGAAGGTTAATAGTGAAGATGTGAAGGTAGGAAATCGATTCTCTGTTCTCCAGGACGAGTGTACTTCAGTGGTTAGTGAGGTTAAAGGCACCACTGACTCCTCTGCTTATCAAGGTAAGAATATTCTGATTGTGGGAGATTCTCAGGTAAGATATATGGACTGTGCTTTTTGTAACAGAGATAGAAAGGTCAGACAGAGAGTGTGCCTCTCAGGAGCTGGCGTTGGTGACATAGTCAGCAAGTTGGATAATATTATGTCAGGGAATGAGAACAAGCCCATTATCAGTCTTAGTGCTGGTGGTTAATGACATTGGGAATGGCAGGAGACAAGAGCTACTGGATAAGTATAGGTCAGCAATAGATGCAGTCAGGGGTCTAAGGGAGGGATCCCAATCATATGTAGCATCTTGCGTAGAAGAGGAGTGGGCAATGAATGGATGTCTAGGGCATTTGGTATAAATTGCTGGCTAGACAGGTGCTGCAAGGAACATGCAATCCCCATTCATTGATAACTGGGACATATTGTATGGTAAACAGATATGTATGCAAGGGATGGGGTTCATCTTTCTGGGGTTGGAGTGTTTGCATTAGCCAATTTGATTGAGGGGGTTATTGGTGACTTTGTCTAGGACTTTAAACTGATAGATTATAGAGGTATAGGTGTTTGTGGGAAACAATCAGGCTGCAGTATTACGGTTGAAAATAGCAGATATTACCGGGATACCTCAGGGATATGTTTAAAAGACAATATTCAAAATAAAGTTGCTAGTAAAGGCAAATTAAATGATCAACAAACAGAGATAGTAGAGGCAACGAGCGACTAGCTCCCTTAAGGTTTACTATACAATAGTAAGAGTCTAAGAAATAGATAGATGAGCTAAGATTACTTGCAAGTGCAGGTAATATAGATATTATTGCTATAACAGAGACCTGGTTCAACTTGAAAGATAGAGAAATGCCTTCTGAATGCAGCATACAGGGTTATAAACTATTCCATACTGATAGTCAATAGGAAGGGTGGTGGAGTGGTGATGTATGTCAGAGATAATTTAAATTGTTGCGTTAGACAATGATATAAGATTAGTAACATCAGACACAGAATCTGTTTGGCTACAGTTTCTCGAGGGTCCTGAAAAGTTAATTTTGGGTGTGATTTATAGGCCCCAAACCTTGATAGGGAATGCAGTAAGCTGACATGGGACAAAATTCATAAGGCATCTAGATATGAAATGTTGTGTTAATGGGAGAATTTTAACTTTAGACAAATTGATTGGAACAATGTGACAGGAAATCTTGAGTCTAGTGACTTTCTTGAAATGGTTCAGGATTGCTTTTTTAAAACAGTTTGTGACAGAGCCAACTAGAGGAAACAATCAACTTGACTTGGTTCTTGCCAACAAAGAATTACTAGTTAATAATCTTGAGGTTAATGACGAGCCTGAGGAAAACGATCACAATCACTTAGTTTCAATATATCATGGACTTACCCGGATACCTGCAATCAAATCTCTGTCCCAGACTTTCGCTTGACCGATTTCATGGGACTGAAAAATTACCTGGGTGGGCTAAATTGGATGTCCTGACTGTGGGTCAGTAGGTGGTGTTGGTTGCCAATATGATGTTTTTCAGAGCATAGTTCTAGCTGCCCAGACAACTTTTGTTCCAAGTTAGGGAAATTAGATCTAACAAAAAATTATCCCAAATGGATGAACAATAGATTAAAACATCTCATTGGTCAAAATTATTATTATTATTATCAAAGGGAAGCTCTAAACCCAGAGGATTATACAGCACCTGGGGGGGGGATGTGGAAGGCATTCGGGCTTAATTTGGGGGAACTGGAGCACAGATCCAATTCCCTAAATCAAGAGCCCCTCACCAACATCAGGAACCTTCTTGAGGGGTCATATGGTCAAAAGAGAGGCATTATACAGGCATATCAAAAGAGGGGAGAGGCAGTTAAGAAATCAATATATTCAGTTAAAGAGAGAAATAAAAAAAAAGGAATAAAAGCAGAAAGGGATTATGAGGGTAAGGTCACAAGGGATTCTAAGACTAACCCAAATAGGTTCTTTCAGGTGTACAGAAGTAAGATTAGGGACAAGATAGGCCCACTTAAGAGTACCTCAGGTCAGATCAC